TCCTGTCACATGCTCTGAGATGTATTTTTTTTTTTTTTTGTCAAGGCGGGACCCTGTGGAGAAGCCATTTGACTATTTTCTTGGATTCGTGCACAGAGCTGCCAGAAGCGGTATCTCCTCTACTCCACCATGTTGGCTCCCCTCCATATTTCATACTTTATAAAATTCATTCAAATATGTTTAAAAACTTTTCAAATGCCAAAAAAATATAAAATGAAAATGAAAATTTTTAAAGGAATCAATGCAAGTATTTTCAGCTTTCTGCAGTGTCATGGCCTGGCATCTGATGACCACCCTTAACTCCCTTGATATTTTCTCTTTTATCTATAGTTCTGAAACCATTCAAAGTAAATGCCTGCCCCTTTTTACCTTCTTTGTTATTTACTTCTTCCTTAGCCTTGCACATATATACCTTAGGCTGTGTGAACCACTTGATGTCTTCATAAGCAGTTCTCAGCCTTGCTGAGGGCTCAGAGAAGGAGTAGATAAGAGTGGGCTATGAGAGCCAGCTCCAAATCCTTAGGCTCCCACACCCAGAAGTGCCCTAAAACACATTTACAGTGAAGTATTAATGACAAAGAAGATACAGATAAAAAGAAGCAATTTTCAAATAGTCATTTTGTTTTTAAGAAGATTAATTGCTGGTTTGGATCTTTAAGGCATTTACCATACTAAATAATGCAAACAGTTAATGGTGATATAAGTTGTGCTCTATTATAGATAAATGTCTGTAACGGCAAAAGTTTTCAGTAAAGGTTTTCCTTGAGTTTTTTTCTCTTTTGAGCCCCATAGATCTTTGGTTTTCTCCATGAATTCAAATATAGTCTACACTGAAATGTTTGTCATTCCAAGTCCATGTTAATATTGATATGCAAATTAATATAGAGAGCATGACAGCATTGTGCTACACTTCCTGTAGCTGCTGAATGGTTATAACCAAATAGATATCATTATGTTCATTGAACCCTAAGTCATCAAACCACTAGCTGTTGAGATAAAAGAAAGGAATGCCACTACTTTCATGCATTCTCTCTCCCTCCCTCCCCCCTTTGCTTCTTCCCTCTCTCTAACTCAATCTTTTTGTCTCTTTCTGTGGTCTACATACACACACACACAGCCTCACTGCTTCTTTCCATTTATGTTGGGCCATCTTAGACAAATGCATTTCCTTCTCTTGCCCTCACTGAGACCCTTCCTGGCATTCTTTGCTTTGGGAATCCATGAATAAGCATGACATTAATATCAACATTGCTACTTCCCCTTTAAAATGACCTATCCTCTGGGAAAGAGAATTTGATGAATGTAGAAATCACTTCCTGGAAATGAGACAAGCCATTTTCATAATGAATATGATTTCATGCACCTAGCTTTAAAGAAGCAATTTGCTTTCCTACTTGCTAAATTGAAGATTATCATGGTGATAAGGGAATTAATGGTTAGCATTTATGGCCATTTATAAAATCCACTCCATGTTGATAGTTCTGAAGCATAACTTAAAGAATTTGATTAAAGGGTTAGATTTCTGTTGTACAGATGGAAATTTTAAAGGTGAATTACAATTGAATTGAGATATAGAGCAATAGCCAATGTATTTAAAATTAAATTTGTCACATGTCCATATATACTGAACATAGCATGAAGCAATGTACAAGTGTTTCCTTGGTATTTAAAGAGTGACAAATATATTATGCGTCTAAGCAAAAACTTTTTAATGATTGATGATGATACTCAACTTCATCAAAGAAAGCAAGTCTGAAACTAGTTTGTCTTTCTGAGACCAAACAAATGAAGAATCATGCTTACTTAAGTGCTATATCAAGTATGACCCATAGCTTTACAAAGACAACTAGATTAATGGTAGGTGCTTTTGTAACCAATGTATTAAACTATTGATTTGGGAAAACATGATGCTGCTGATTTTATCTTCATAGTATCTCTGAGCATAAGCAGCAGTAAACAGATAAAATTCGATAAAATGGGTGTTTTGATAAGTTTTGTTCTCCTTAGACCTGCATTCATTGAAATAACTGGAAATAATAGATAGCTACATAAATGAGACAAGAATCACTATATTTGTAGGCAGTTCTCTCACTTTGTTGTCTTCAAAGGGCATAACTACCCAGGAAGGAAAACTCACTGGGAATTCAGTTGGTTCCATGAGTCTGAGGTAACAAAATAGTTGCTTGAGTGGTCTCTTTTATAAGTCATAATATAGTTTTTGGCTTTTAAAAGAGAAAGCCTATGGAGCTGGGGCTGTCACTCAGTGGTAGAGCGCTTGCCTCAAATGTGTGAGGCACTGGGTTTGATACTCAGCACCACATAAAAAAATAAATAAACAAAGATTGTGGCCATCTACAACTAAAAAAAATATTTTTTTTTAAAAAAAGAGAGACCCTACATGAGCATTTTGAAATGTATCTTTGTATTGTGGGATTTGGGCTTGTGGGAAACTCCTGCTGTATATAACATCACTGGGTTGAGTTTTGAAGTTTTGAGAGACCCCTTTTATGTTTATTTACCTTTCTATTAAAGATATGGCCACCAAATTGTCTCTAAGTAGCCTAACAGTAACTAGGAAAAGAGAAAAATCTGTGTCCGTGAAGGATAAATGTATCATTTATATGATTATTGTGTAATTATTCTTGGTTGAAAGACAAACCAGGATGTTTTACCAAATGCCAATATGAATAGTAGTATTGGTAGTTCAATGTCAAGTTTCTAGCACTTGTTCTATATGTAATAATGAGTTTCATTGTGCTGTTGCACAATGTTTCTGATGGAGGTTAATGGTGTAGTACCATACCAAAGCACGATTCTAGAAAAGCCATTCCTCTGGAGGATCTATTCAACTACATCTCTGTGTGGAACTCTCTGCTGATAGGTCTGATTCCAGGAGTATATCGGAAGAATGTGTGGACCATGTCTACACCTAGAAATTCTCTTACTTAGGGGATGTTCTTTACAACTTAGCTTTTGACTAAGATTGAGTGGCAGAAAACTTGGGATTTGTTCTGTCTGGTAAATAGTCATACTTTTACTGCTTTGTGTAGTGGTTGAATTTATCCCTAACCAAACTTGTATATTTTATAGGCAGTAAAGTTGGGAAAAATGGTAAACATCACTTTCTTAAAGTTTAAGGAACAATGAGATGAAATCTCAGCTGGAGTCTATAACAAAAAAATGAAAGATAACATTAATAGTAAAGTTTAATTGAGTAGTTACTATTGGAAGGTATTGTTCAAAGTACTTTGCATGCACAATTGCATTTAATCATCACATCAACCATTATTATATCCACTTTCCTCATAGAGAGTCCAAAGATCATAAAAGTAAGCAACTTTCCCAGTATCCTACAACTTGAAAGTGATAAGGCCAGAATTTAAACCAGCTAGTATGGCTCCAGATTCCACATTATTAGCTACTGTAATACATTGCCTCCTTATAACACCTTTTCTTATTTTCCTAGAATGATCTCAAAAAGGACCAGAGAGTCAGCAGATAGCAGGGGATTTCATAAAGACAACTCTGCTATGGTCCTGTCCTCAGATTACTCAAATAAAAAGATGGGTACTCCTCAAGTTCTGAACCTACTGAACTTTACTGAACTTTGATTGGACAGGTAAGGAAAAGAGTTCTGCAGTTGAAATCAGGTGACCTGTCTTTAGTTCTTGTAATGCAATCTTGAGTAAGTTTCTTTTCCTCATTCTCAGTTTCTCCAACTGTACAATAATAGTTTTGAACTTGAATCTGGGAAATTTTAACTAGTGGAATCTGGGAAATTTTCAAAGCATGTATACTCAGGCTCTGCCCTATACTTACTGAGTTTCCAGGATGGGCTACTTGCTTTGGAGAATATAGAATTAAACTTTCCAATAAAAATTTGCAAAGACCTTTATTATTTGATGCATAAAGAAATAATTCTGTGAATGTAGATATTTTCACTGTGCTAATAGCTGGAGGTGTCTGTTTGAATCCAGCTATGTCTGTTGTCTGAATCCAGCCATGTCTATAAACAGTGACACTCTTACTCTTCTGTGGGAAAGGACACTTTAAAAGGGCCATAGGGAAAAGCTGAGAAGCAGCAGCCAAACCAAACCCATCAGGACCCAAGCCAGGTTGCTGAAGTGAGCAAACCTCTAGCACTGACTACTGGAGTGAGCAAACCATGAAGAGTGGTAGAGAGTTTGCAAGCAGATCTCACCATGGTAGGAATCCCAATAAAGCCAAGAGGAATAAGTACAAGGCCACTGGCTTGCAGTCACATGTGCTGACTTAAAATCCCACATTTCCTATTAACCAGCTATGTCACTAAGGGAAAATTTATCTGACTTCCCTGAGCTTCAGTGTCTAGAATTGTAAAATGGAGACAAATAGTACTAGCTTCAGGGGATCTTATTCAGATTTTCTCCTGTTCTTTTTTTCTCT